CATAAAGAAAAAACAGGTCTCCTCAGGATAACAAGAAAAACAGAATTTCAAGGCAAAACTTGTTGCTACAGTCCATTTTAATACTGATTCCAAATTCCACATTCTTTATTCCCATGAAAAGAGAAATTTAATGTATTAGAGAACTTACCTGTTCTACTGTTGCTCTGTCTGACTTGTCTTTGACTCGATACCTAGCAGGAGTGAAAATAAATGATACAATACCACATACAGACTCAGCACTTTGACAGAGTAAAACACAACATTCTGTATTCGTTATTAAAGATAAGATGACAGCCTCAAGAAGTAAGGCTTTCAGTTCATACAAAAGCAAAAGTTTCTCCTGCAGGCAGGGGGGGGAAAACAAAATGAAACAAAAAAAGAAATCTATAAACATCAGTGCCCTTCACTTGTATAGATATCTTCTTGTCTTCACTGAATTATGCTTATTCAGGAGAAAACAATATCTGTCTTAACAACTTCGAGCTACAAGCTGCAGGCTTAAAAAAAATTTAAAAAGAAGTACCTTTCCCTCACCAAATCATCAGGAGGAACCTTCAAAAGGCTTCCAATACCTTTTTAGACCAACTGTTTAAGGACCTCTGTTTAGAAAAAAAGAGTATCAGAGATATAATAGTCTTTTCTAGTGGAATGACACCTGTCACTTCTGTCTTACTACACCAATACAATCAGATGTGCTACCAGCAGCAGTGACAAAAGAATCAAAACTTTGGAATGATTTAGGCAACTGATTCATAAATCAAAAAGTTTAAGACCAAAAGGCAAACTGCAGGCAGACGACTTACAAATTTTGGTTTTCTTAATAAATTTATTTAAAACTCAGGATCGCACTAGGAAATAAGAACTACTCTTCTGGGTTTTAATTATTTAAATGAAAATAGAACCATGAGTAATACTCACATGTCTGCTTCCTTCTGTCTAGACTTTTCTGTGACTCTGTTTATAACGGAGTCATCAAAATTTAGCTTATCTGAAAAAGACGTAGAAGTATTGAAAAAAAAAAAAAAACAAATCCAAAGAAATTTCCTATGTTTGGAATTGCTCCTGTAATTCTGCTGCCAGCTGAAATGCCACAACACAATGTTAAACACACGCTGAGCTTTCTGACAAGCACAGAAACTTAGCTACATACTAGAGTTAACCCAGCTCTCCACTCTGTCTACGTTTCAAAGCAGGACTATAAGGCAACAACACAGATGAGTGAGACAGTCCCACAGGCTTGGAGATGTAATGCCATCCCGAAGTAATGCCTTTTGGATAACATCTCACCAGTACATTTGCCCGCCCTTCTCTTATCACAATCAAATACCATTTTTCTGAACAAAATAAGCAACAGCTTCCAGTATTCTCTTCCCATGATGTATTTAAAATGGCATTTTATTAACTGCTAAATGTGTAAAAGATGCTCTATTTGGCTACATACATCAGCACCACTCTTTCTGTAAAAGATGCTGTATTTGGCTACATACATCAGCACCACTCTTTCAAACCTTCATTTTTAGAACCATTTCGTTATAAAGGAAACCACAGCCTCTGTTTACTACCCAGTCACAGCTACACCTAGTCTAATTGGCTGAGCTGAACAGCTATTTCCATCACATGGTAAACATCAAACTTCAGCAGCTAGGACAGCAGCCTCTTCACATATCACACAACTCTACACCTGTGAAATAACTGTTGCATAATGTACCACCCTAATATTACAAGGGACTGCAATTGTCTAGAAAATTTAGCTGTGGTGGCAGCTTTGGGAGTGACCAACATCATCACAACAAACAGCTGACACCCTCCCTCCAGCCAAACAGCTTGCTCCTACTGAAGCTAGGGAAGAAATATTTTATGTGGTCTGGCAAAGTCAAGAGGAAGGTAAAAAAAAAAAAAACAACCACACCACAAGAAAAAACAACAGCCTTATGGCTCTGAAGGGGGAGAGAAAGGGGTATGACAGCTGATTAAAGGAGACTAAAGGCAACCTGAAGTACACAAAAGCCATATTTTAATCTCTCTGCCAACAGATAACTGCCATTCCAGTGAGTTCTGGCTTAAAATAAACAGAATTAGTCGGAGAATGTCAGATGTCACAGAGCGGTATCTGTTTTCATAAAAGAAGACAATGTAATTATACTCACCTAAATTAATTTTATGCTCAAATTTCCTTAAAGCCTTGTCTGTAGGGGTAGACATTTTTGCTGAATAGCAACTAGGGGTCTGTCTATTTGCCTGAAACAAAGGATTTGTTAATATAAGTTGCCTTCTCTAAATAACCCTTTGAAATACAGATAATATCATTGGAAAAGTCAGCTCAAATACCTATGCTTAGAGCTATTAAAAAAAACATAAAAGGTGAGGAAATGGATATGGATTAACATCAGATTTTACTTAAGAAAAGAAAGCACAGGTCACACATCAGTTAGAATTCAAAAAAGTGCCCCAATTCAGGCGTATTTTAAGTCTGGGAATTGAGCTGCAAGTCTCTCATTTTAACACTTTTTCTGTCTGTAGAAGGAAGGGAAATAGCAGACAGTAAGAAGGAGAAAAATGAGAGAAAAAAATTAGAAGGTAACGAATAGGAAAAACTTTCAAAGATGCTATCTTTTCTTACAGGTAGTCTTCTCCAAATACAGTATCTGAACACGACTTCACCAACATTGGACAGCACAAACCTCTAACTAAAGACAAGAATAAATTACCCAGGACAAATGCTGTGAGTCAGACACAATATGCCATGATCAGCACCACTCTAATTTAATTCAACTATTCTGTTATGTTGGTATCAGTAAGAAAAAAGGTTTTAAACCTTCAGTGTCCAAGTTGAGGGTCAGAAGAATGCTAGTTCTTAGATCACAGGTGCTCTTCGTTCTCCACAATGCCAGAGTTTCTATGCTAACAGCATACACTCTAATCCACTTCTAACACCTCCCTCCATCTCCTATGCTTCTTTTGTCTCCTTCACTATCAGTCCAAAACAATCTGTTTCACCCTAGGCGTGACAAACCGGTACAGTCTCAAAATTAGATAGAAAGGATGGGAAAATGCACAAAACCACAGAAGACAAATTCCAAAAAGTAAGCAACATCAGTAGAGATTGGGGTGGGCAATTAAAGATGAGAAAGGAACAGAAGGAAAACTGCAGTGACAAAAAGAATCCAGAGATAGGGTTTGAGACAAGTAAATCAAGCAGAGTTCTGGCTGCAACATACATACACTCATGGCACAGCAGAGGAATAGACTCAAAGGAAGAGGATTCTCTCCAGGAAAGATTTCCGTTTCATTTATGCTCAACATAATACTAACAAAGAACAAAGCCTTCAGGTTAGCCCCATTTGCTCTTGGGCATCCTTGATGTTCACAAAATAGCCTTCAACATACCTGTGGATTGCATCCACCAGCAGCATTGTGGCGCTTTGTAAGTCTTCCCACCTCGTCATCCCAGTCCCAGTCTTCATCTTCCTCTTCATGATCATCGTCATCATCACCATCTCCTTCCTCTGTGTTAACTTCTTTGTACATGTATGACTGGCAGTTCCCAGTGACCTCATCTTCTTTAGCTGTTTCCGTGTCTTGCGTAAATTCACTTTAAAAAAAAACCCAACAGATATCTATATAACTACAAATGATTGTTACAGTCATCAAAAATCCAATACATTTATCCCAACAACTGATTTCACAAGGTTAGTTCTCCATGAGATGTTCTCACTTCACCTGCCTCTAAGCAAGCATATACGAGAATGTCACTGCCTTTAAAGGATAGATTACGTTTATCTTCTTCACCATATCAGTGCTGCCTTCTAACTTGTTCTGCAGTTACACATATTCAGATCCCTCCGAGTCCAATCAGAGGAACACACCAGAGCAGGCCAGCTGGCTCCTTCAGCAGAGATGAACCCATTTGCTTGTTGCCACAGTAGATTTCCACCTGACAAGGTATCTATCACACAAAATCTCATCAGAGGCAGACAGCCAACCTGCTGGTAACTCAGTGCACCAGCACAACCTACATGAAAAAAAAAGTGAAACCTAAAAAAGAATCTGTGGGAGAAATTAACCCTAACCCTAACCCTTACTCATGGCTTGATGTCTGTCATATGTCACATTTTTCTGACAGAACAAATACATCCCAAAGCAGACTTTCTGCCAGCATTTGACATTTAATTAAATGAATCGTAAACTAGAAAGAAAATTACTTGAACCCATAAAGCAAGACGATTCTTTATTCACTCCTCACTAAACACAAGAAGCTCTAGGCTTTTGGCGCAACAAAACAGTGTTTTAATTCCAAAAGGAATCAAAGTTCCTTACTGTCCTAAGCAACTCACCATTCTCTTACGCGGTTTCACATGTTCAGTTACAATCAAACAACACAAAGGTGAAACCGCCTCGACCACCCCGGGTCTGTAGCGGTGAAGCAGAAATCGCCAAGGGCTAAAAAGCCGAGAGCGCGCACGCAACCTTTTCTCACGCGTTCTGGTTTAACCCTGCAGCACGGCCGCCCTGCCCCGCCGTTTTCTGCCGGCGCCGTGCAGGACCGCTCGCCTCTCCGCTCGCCGCTTATTGGAACAGGCGCACCCGCACCACCCCTCGCGGGGACCTGCGGGAACCGCTCGGCACCCGCGGCCAGCCGACCCGCCCGGCCTCGCCTCACGCCGGCGCAGGGCGCCACCAGAGGCCCGGACCCCCCGAGCTGTTCACACCCGGCCCCTCGCCACCTCCTACCCCTCGGAGCACTCCGCATCGTCAAACTGCCCGGGCACGGCCTGGCTCATGGCCAGCGCCCGGTAATCCATGGCGGGAGGGAGGGATGGAGCGAGGGAGACGACCGGACGGCACAAGCGGCCCCAGGAACCCCCACGGGGACCGACAGCGTCCTGCGCCTGCGCGGCCGTTCAACGGAGGGGGGCGGGACCCGCCCCCGGCCCCGCCCGCTGCTCAGGTTCCGGCGCAGGGATTGGCTGCGAGCGCCTGACGTCAGCCGTACCGTCGGGTGTGGCCCAGCCGCTAGAGGCTGCGGTAAGGTGGCTGTAAATGGCGGCGAGAACAGCCCCAGAACCGGGATTGTACCGGGAATCCGGTACCCGCCCAGCGGAGCTCTGACAAACGCTGCCAGGGTGAACCCAGCAGCCACAGCTTCCCTCTGGGGGAGCTCCCAGTGTTGTCCCTCAAGTGGGATTGTTTACCCGGTGTGCAACAGCAACCGCTGGTAAGTAAATCAGTAAATTCTCAGTAAACCAGCCTTAAAATGTTGCATCTTCAAGCCCATTTCTCTTTACCACAGGTTCGTGGTTATTTTCCCTAACACTTTAGTGATGATCTGTGTCATCTGTAAATAGATACGGATAGAGTTTTATTTAATATACTCTGAAATATTAAATTCCAATCCTTATTAAGATAAAGCTCCGATTGAAGCCAAAGGAATTCCACAATTTCAAGCCTCGCTAGAAGCATCTTAGATCACTGTAATAGCCCTTACTGATGCCTGCTAGCAGGTGCCTGCAAGCAGTTGGTGCTAATTGTTGTAAGGGGCCTCAGGCAAGAATGCACCCAAGGACATAATTTTTGCAACTGTGATGGGTACATCCCGGAGAGGGCAGATAAACCAGCAGACACCTGTGGAAACCAAAGATAAGGCTGAGAAACTTTACAGACAGAGTGATGAGCCAAGACAAGATCTTACATGAAAGAAAGACTCAAGAGTTCATGGAACAGATACAAAGAAACAGCTCTTCAACAACCGCTAGGGACCAGCACAGACCACCAAAAACCCCCATGGAAGGCCCGCAGAGACCCTTCCCCAAATTTTAGTATGCTTGTGCATTGTATTAACATACACATTCAATTCTCTGGAAATAGCTGTGTACTCCTCAGAAATTACATTAATAATAATTTCCTATATTGTATATAATAGGTGTGCCTTTCTCTTTCAGCATGCGCGTTAGATGGAATGATCCCTCGTGCATCCAGTGCTCCAATAAAGAATGCCTGCCTTCTGAAACTTCAAACTAAGTCTTGGAGGGTTTTTTTGAGACTGGATTTAGGTGCTAATCTGTTTATATATTATATAATGTAGGATTAAGAAAATAGAAGTGCGTGCTGTGCTTTTGCCATCTGGCATACAATGGTAAAATTTTTAAATGCACTTTTTTTTGGTAGATGTTTTCCCATTATCCAAATAGTTCATGTAAAAGTTATCAAAAACCTGCAGCTGTGCAGAAAACACGGAAGCTTGTACTCAGAAGCCTTAAAAAAGAATGGATGGAATAGATGCAATTTCCATCTGCAGTGCTTCTGTAAAGTTAGCCCACTGAGAGCCGCTGAATGTGGAAACCACAAGCCAGTTTCTGACATTTCTAAAGCTGCAGCTTTACTTCAGACTGTCTTCAAATTTGGCGACTTCAGCTTCTGACACTAGAACACCTGGAACCTAAATGCCCCTTTCTCCATCTTTTGTATAAAAGAGGGAATCTTGTGTCAAATATTCTCTCTCCATAACAAAGTGCCAGCTGGTAAGGCAGAAAAAAGTACAGTGTCAGTCTGAAGAAGCAGTACAATAACTGCTTTCCAAAGAATTCTCTAACCTGCAAGGCCTAACTGCGTGAGAAGGTACCGCTGCTCTCCTTAGACACCGGTGGCTTCAGAGGAGAGGGAGCATTGCTGGAGGGCCTTCATTTTGCTCAATCACCATGATACCCAGGTCAGTTCCGCAGCATGTCACAAGGGAGGTCTGGAAGGGAAAAGGTCGATTCTGTATGAAAACAAACTGTCCTGTTATTTCTTATGATCTTCTATTACCTGGAAATTCCCATCATGCTTCATTGTGCTAGATGTTATATAAACAAAACAAAACATGAACAAAAATGGGAGCCTGTATGCTAAGGAACTCACTGCCAAGTGTCCTTTCTGAAAGTAGATGCAATGCTGTGTCTGGCATTCTTTATTTAACTGTGAAATGAATGCAGCAGAAGCAGTGAACGGTTCACCTCTGATTTGGGGACAGGCAGGACTTGAGCCAGTGGCTCTGTCACACATCAGGAAACATGGTCATCAAACTTAGTTCCAGTTGCTGCCCTGCCAGCACGCACTGCTGTCACCCAATCTGGGTAGCCACCAGTTTTGGGAGCAGAGATCTGCCTTTGTGCAGGCATGCTCTGTGCTCTTTTTCCCAACATACAGCCACCAGCACACAAAATTGGATTAAGATCACCTGTTTACTGATCCTTTTCCTAGAAGCAACTGTTGGAGGACTCAATCCACATGGGTGAAGCTGCAGAGAATGTGTTATCCTACAGATTTATTTCACTAATAAATTATTCAGTGGTTTTAAGTAAAAATACTAATTTATTGTAATTAGGGGAATGGTTTGAAACATAACACTGCCAGAAGATTCCCACATTCATTTTTATTCCCTCTTTGCTCCAGGCTTCCACATAACTTCCACTACAACCACAGACAGCAGCATGCTTTGTTTTTTCCCAGGCTTTAAGGGCTCACTTTGAAATGGACACAAACTACTCTACAAATGATTCAACTGCAAAAGGGTTAAGCAAAGCAGGCCACTAGGTGACAGTGGTACCTTCAGAAGGAGAATCTCCTGTGTTACAAGCGCTAAACTCACTTTGACTCTTGTCCAGATCTATCACAGGCTGATCTGCAGTGTGGCTTTCAGTAACTCCTTTCATGCAACTCTCGGGGTTGTAGTTTCTTGTTTCTGAAATGGAAATAGCAATACTTCTTGTGGCAACACAACAGGACATGAAGATAAATGCATTAGCATTTAGAAGGCATTCAGAGAGGAGAGGAGGTTTGTATAATTATGTAGATAGACTGCATCAGGCAAATATAATGAACTGACCAGAAGGATGGAGTCAGGCAATTGTAGCGCACAGTTATGGCACCTCAACTGGACACAAAGTAGGAGGATACCGTCCTCCGCCTTCAATCTCTCTGAAGAGGTAACTTATTTTTAGCATTCCCCTGCAGGTTCACACTGAAGGAAAGTAGGGATTTCAGGCTCTCCACGCCTTACTGACCACTGTGCAAGTTAGCAGGAGGGAAAGGGAGAAGCAGCATTACAGTTCCATGTACCAGCTGCCATATGACAGGGAATGTGAAAGGTGACAGAGGTTTAGCAGTAAGTGTCCCTAATCCCTGGGAGTATAGACCTCTTATCAGCCTATATACTCGACTTGGACCACTGTAGCTCCATGTTTCTCCTCATATGAGACTATCCTTGGAAAACTATCGCCTCCCTTACTCTGCCTATGACTACATTTTGACCTTTCCTGAAAATTAAGAGTCACAATGTTTGCTCACCCTTGGAGATGCACCAAGTCTGTACTTAACACTGCATGTTATGTAAAACAGGGATATATTCCGGTTCACACTGAAGCTGGGAAACTGGGCACAGAGACCCAGTAGGCAGAATCTCTGTGTCTTGCTCCTTTCTGGGAAAAGCAATTTGAGATGACCACTAACAATTCCCTTTACATTTGCAGGTTGAAAAGTAGAACCCAAGGGGAAGAAAAGACACTGACTGCCAGCTTTGTGAAGGAACCTGTGTTTCTGAGCCTGTCTTGGAAAATTTGACATGTGGTATGTTCCTGTTGGTGATGTCAAACATGAGAGGGACTTCAATTGCCATGTGCTAGATGAGTTACAATAATATTTCAACTGTTGCACACCCCTCCTCTACCAAAATATGCCGGGGCATTACTTCGTAGTTCCTGGATAGTGCAGTTTTTCAGATTTTGAGCTGGTGCAAAACCTGTTGAAACCAACAGACTTCATTAGTTTTTGAGGCCAGCTGCTTATGGCTTGTTGGCATGGCGTGAGGGAAGGACAGAAACTATAGGGACTGTACAGAGCATGGACAGACATAGGAGGGGGAAAAAGAAAGCATATGGTCAATAAACTGTTAAAATTAGATGATTTACATAAAAAGCTATCTGAAAATAGAAAACTGAATCTACGTCCTGAACAGTGATCATACAGAGAAGAAAAAAGAAGGGTCAGTTTACTTACGTATAGCTTTAGAAGTAAGATGCTGCTGCTACATTCTCCTTCTACTCTGCCAGTGTAATGAAGAGTGAAGCACATCCCTCGCAGCTGAGTCCTTCCACCTTCTTCCAAGCTGTGAGTCCCTCTTTCTTACCCACGATCACAGTAAGCTGTCACAACACACAGAACACAAATAGTTGTGAGGAGCTACACACACTCCACAAAGCAGATGGCCTTTTCTTGAGATACGGCCCCAGCTGGTTCAGCTGAGCTCAGCCTCTCCAACTTCACTGCACCTACAATAACTTATATCAAGTTCATGTGACTGTTACAAAAACCTGCTTATGCTGTCTTGGACATTAACAGAAATCCTGCTCAGCTTTTTGCAGTCCCTATACTGTGACTCTCTTGGTCAGCAGCACAGCAGGAGGCCAAGATCTCCTTTATCCCATGCAGTATGCTTGATATTCCAATATTGCAGCTTATATTCTGATTTTATACATGCACTGATTTAAATAGAAGAGGCACACACATATATAGGAAAGAGAAATTAGATGATACAGTACTTCAGTGCTGCTGTGAACATTCATGTAGTTGCATCATGTTTTGTCTAGGTGGCTTCTGATCAAACATTATACATGCTGAGGAGGCAAATGATTCACATGTTTTGTTAAGTTCCAAGCAAAGTACCTCTTCTCCTCCACTATGTTATTTTCACAAATATTCTTTGAAAGCATTGTGAGAAACTTAATTTTTTTTTTTGATTCTACATAAATTTTCAAGTTACCTCTCATAAAACAGTGGAGCTCCTAAGTCATAGAAACACTTGCAGTAGAAGCAGCACGACTTTCGGCGTAGCAATCTGGAAGGAATCTTCAGGTGTGGACACATTTTTCCCAGAGGAAGAATACACAGTCCAAAACGAACCAGCACATCAAAGGAGAATGCTGGGCTGTTGAGAAGAAAACATTGATGGAAAAGAAACTATTAAAAAAGAACTGCAGGAATCTAGGAGAGAAGAGGTTTCACTGCCAGAACAATTATCAGTTAAGACCCTTGTAGTTCCTCATGAAGTGCCATTTGTAGAAATGGGGGAGTCACTATTGGATTGCATTATTAAAGAATCCCCCACAAAAGATCCGTCTTATTTTCTCACTCAGCCCCATGGCTCTCCATTCAAGATATATCCAGGTTTTGGTACTAAGAAACACTTTTCTGGAGAGGGTAATTTGAACTTGGCTAGCAAAACTCACAGTCCAGAAGAAGTCATGGTAAGATTTCATGCTGCTTGAATGCAGGCTTGAATAATGAAAATATCTTTAATGAAAATATCTTTCTCTCATAAAACCAGAAGTAGCACTTTAAATTACAAATATATTGCAATATTTTTTTATGTGTGTGCTGGGCTTCCCAGATCTATAACATAGAAGTGTTATGAATATCAAGTGCAGGTGCTGAAGTTGCACTTTGAATTAAGTGAATTTGGAATGTAGGGGGCAGTGCACCTTCATTGAAGTTCCTATTCAAATTACAAAATATTAAAAATTTTAATTGCAATTAAAATTTAAGTTAAATGGTGTTTAATTATAATTATTACAAATTACAAATGTTTATAGACTACAAATGACACTCTTTTGGTAGGCAGCCACTGGACAAAAGATAGAGCCTCCAAAGAACTGGAGCAAGAGCGAGTAGTATATCATCTGATTCTTTGCGTGAGAGCATAGTGTATATACCAGGCCTGATAGTCAGAGAAGTGAAAAGAGGTATAAAGAACAGTGTAATACAGTACAATTAAAGAGAAAATATTGAGAGACAGTTTCCACCAGAATCTGAGATGTTTTTTCCTATTTAGGGTTTTCTTTTTCAGTTGGAGAGTGTAAGAAAAAAATTAAACCCAAACATTTTAAAATGCTGGATCAAACTCTATTTTTATTGCAGTATCTAGGAAATTCAGTAAGAGATTGTATGACCTATTATGTAGGGTACTATAAGGTATTCTGACTGTCCTACTCTTTCAACAGAGAAATTCATTAGCATTTCAAGCATATTTTTTTGCCTCCTACCTCTGTCTTACAAAGCAATGCATGGAGCCTTGGAAGACTTATTTCTTACTGCTTTAATGTAAGCATTTATTTTTCTCCATTTTCTACAATCAAAATGTTTGGCCAAGTTTAATTTAAATTTCTTGGTTTTTTAAATTCTTGCTTTAAGGCCAAAATTACTGTAAGTTAGGGCACTCCACTGGAGCTTGATGCAGGTGCAAGGGCTGCAGGCATTGTAGAAGGGTGGGCTTCTTCAGTTTCATCATTTCATAATGCTGGTCCACATTGACTTATCTTCACAGGTAGGAAATTTCCACTTAAGTTAGTGAAAAAATAGTTTGCATAAATTGAACAGAGGGTGTCACCTCTTGTTTTTCAATAGAAGAATGACACAACTCTACTAGTAATGTAACAGTGTGGGGGAAGTTTACTCAAATTTATCCTCTGTTGCCTTTCCACCTTCTCTGACTAGATCATTGTCAAGCCACATGACCTCTCATTTTTCTAATTAATTGATGATAGAATGTGGTTGTCTTTCTAGGAAACGTTGGAAGCTGATAAGGACTTTTTACTCCAGCATTCCAAGATATCACTTGCTCACAAGGAAGACTATAAACAAGGAGATAGAAGCAATAAAGGGATTCTCTCCACTTAAAGAAGGGGGAGGCCCTGTCCAAGTCCTTATGAAGCATCCTCAGATATGTGCGGAACAAAATATTCCAATTACCATTTGGAAAAATTATCATTTCAGGAGACAGTTATGAACCTTAGAGGGGTCATCAAGGAGCTAGAGGAGGCTCAGCAATAACAAACCCAAATCACAGATCTTCAGTGTGATGATATGGTTCTGAGGAAGGCTAAAGATAGGGGAAAACTACTGTTTAATGAAGAGAATTTAGGTCTAGATGATGTGACTAAGAGGATGAAGTAGAATCAGAAGAAACAGCCAACACAGATTATTGATTCTTACTATGAAACCATTTCTCTGAAGACCAATTTAAAGAGTTAAAGCCAAAAAACATCCAGCAACAGCATTTGGGGAAAAAAATAAGCAGATTAAAGGAGGATACTGAAGATTGAAATGAAACAAAAGGTAAATTCATGAAGGAGAAAAATGAGGCTAAGAGATGGCTGACAGTCACACAGGGAACTCTCTTTAGTGCGATCAAGTGTATTGAGGGTGCCGAGACAGAAAAAAAAGCCCTTCTGAAGCATGTGGAAGAACTTAAATCTGCATATTATCTCCTTCAAATAAAGCATGAGACAGAAGTGAAGACCAGGTTTAGGAGACAGTGATTGGAGAAAAAAAAAAAAAAAAAAAAAAAAAAAGTAGAAACAGGAGGCCAAGACTGTAACTTTGGCCCTGGTGCTAAGGGAGGAAAAGGAAAATACAAAGAAATGGCTCCTATCCTTGCAAACAAAATTCCAGGGAGAAAAGGATGGCAGGTTGGCAGAAAGTCAACAACTGCTATCCAAATATAACGGGCTGGCTGCTCAGCTTCAAATCACAAGCACAATTTGAAAACAAACAAGCTGAGATGACAAAAATGCAACAGCAGATTTGTAAATTCAGAAGAGAGAAGCAAACACTGCAGCAACAGAGAGGGAAAGATCAAGAACAAAACTGCATCCTGCAGCTTCAAACTGCGAGATGGAAAAAGAGATGTGATAAGAGTCAGAGAATCACAGACAGCTAAGGTGTAATTCAGACTGATACATCATCATAAGTATCTGTAACAGATAAGAGTTCCTAGTTGCTATGTGAAGCATTTTCCCTTCCTTTCTCAGGACAAACTTCCACAGACTCAACCTGAGGGTTCTGACCAAGTTGAGAACCAGGAAAGTACATAAACTTGTGTTTCTTTTCAAGAACATTAAAGTTGAGAGCGCTCTTACTCCTTTACTGGACTTGAGTCCCACTGTAGAATTTTGTCTTATACAGATATTATGCAGTCATCTAATTTCAAGCAGTGATCAAACAGTCTGTAATTTATTATTTGAAATAAACGAGGGAATAAAAATTTATGATAATTGCCTTTTTTCCCCCACTTCTTTAAGGGGAAAAAGAATGGAAGGATCAGAATGTAAATGTTCCAATGTTTGACACCTTATGTCTTTCTGCAGAAGCATCTAGATAAAGTTTCCACAGAATCACAGAATGGTTTAGGTTGCAAGGGACCTTTAAAGATCATCTCGTTTTGTCTGTATCTTCCCTGAGCTGTGGAGGTTCAAGACACAGTATTCTAGATGGACTCTAACATCGATTAGGGACTCACCTTGATCTGCTGGCTCTGCTCCTCTTGATGCTCTTGGCCTTTCTCACTGCCAGGGCACACTGCTGGCCTCATGGCAGCTTAGTGTCTACTAGGGCCCACCTACATCCTTCTCAGCAGAAGCTTCTCCCTGGCAAGTCAGTCCCCAACTGTTGATGGGGCGGTTCCTTTCCCGGTGCAGGACTCTGCTTCCTTAGAATTTCCTAAGGCTCCCTTTGGCTAATTCCGGCAAATTGCCTAGGCCCCTCTGGGTGGCAGCCCTGCACTCAAGCGTATCTGCTAGGCCCATATCACCACCCACCACCTGATTTCATACTACCCACAAACCTTTTGCACCCTCCGAATCATTTACAAAATATTAAATTGGTCAGGTCCTGTGACAGACCTCTGCAGTCAGTATTCCCCTTGTTACTGGCATTCAGGTAGAATATGGGGCTCCTGAGAGCCAGCAGACTACAGCTGAGCTGATAATGACTGTTGGCTAGACAACAGAGGTTAGCCACATCTGATTAATAAAACCCCATACCTTCACCCACTCCTCAATAAAGAGTTCAGGGACCTGGGGGTCCCTTTAGATGCAGAAGCTTGTAGGCCTGTGATCTGCATTTGTAGCCTGGCTGCAGTCTTCAGCAAGGATCTAGAAATTTACCAGGAAATCTCAGGGAACCCTGGAGGCAAGGCCCCACAGTAGTCAGTTCAGGGCTCAAGAAAACCCAAAATAACCTTCAGGAAGCATGCAGCAGGAATGGGGCCGATCCACAAAGGAAAATGGACCAGAAGCTAAGGGCGATCCCAGCACAGGCAGTGTCCCACCAGCCCTGGCACAGAGCCACAGTACCTGGGTGAGGCAGCGACAGGAACAGGGTCTGCCAGGAGTCCCAGTGACTCTGAAAGATCTCAGCCTCTGAAAAGTCAGCATCTCCTCCAGCTTGTGATCTTTGTATCATTGTTTTATAGTGCTTGATAACACTCCTGGTGCATCTGACAAAGGTTAGATACATTATTTTACCACTTCATTTATTACTGATATGCTAAATTTTTATATAAATTGTCTGAAAAATAGAGCCATGACAAAATAAAAAAACAAAATAAAACTCAGCATGGTTTAGTTGCAAAACTGGTTAGGTAATAAAAATGTGCTTCATTCTTGTAGGTAAAAAAACCTTTTTTTTTTTTCCTTGTTGAAACAGCTTTGCTTCTTCACTGAGTAGGGAAACAAAATGGTGTTCAGTCTCAGACGCTGTTGTTCAAATCTGAACATACCAATAACAGTACATAAAGTCATCCAACAAAGAAAACAGATTTGGGTTGTTCGTTTCCCATAGCATAAACTGCAATGTCTAAGAATCAATTGAATCTTGTGTTTCCCTTTTTATTTTTCTTTAACATTGATGACTCTACCATAGCCTTGGATGGCTTTCTTATTTATTGATTACTCCACAAATAACTCAGAAAAAAGCATCCTTCACCTATGACACTAGGTGTTACATCCTTCTATTCAAATTAGTCACTTCTAAAACAAACCAGACTGTTTTCATTACAGCATAAGCCAAAACTGGTCAAATTATTTGCACTGTTTACTCAGTGGCATACATTCCAGTGGGAAGATCATGAAAAACAGAGTAAAGAAACATTTCCAGTGATTTTAATGAATATGAGAAGCACATTCCTGAGGACGTGCTGTACTCTATGTGCAGTATCAGAGGGCATACCAACCCTTTAGGAGATACTTCTGCTCAGAGGGAACAGAGAGTAATTATGTGAACTGAACCTACAGCTCCTTTACTTTGCAGGTTTTACCTTCTCCAGGCAAGCCCAGGAGCTGATGTTCCTTACCTCCCACAAAGGGAGAGAGTGTCTAATAAAAAGGTTTAGTTGCTTTATAACTTATTCTCTAGGCTTATCTCTCAGGCCAACTGGATACAATCTAATGGAGAAAAGCCCAAGGTAGCTGAAGATACCTGAATGTACAGACTGAAAGGCATGATACAAAAGATCTGCACAGCTGGTTACATTTGAGAGCTGTGATTCTATAGCTAAAAGAATGTTTAAAAACATACTACAAAGAGGCTCTGCATAGAATGTATAAAGCATTATTTCCAGCTTAGGGTTTATCACTGACACTCTGTTCTTAAAAATTGCTATAGCAATTGACAGTTTTTGAAGACAAGGCATATATAAATTACAGTTGAGTCTCAAGCTTTATTACTATTAAATTTAGGTACAAAGTAGATTAATAATGTAGCAATCACAAGACAGTTAATTAATGAAAACTTTCCAAGACCAAGTTACTCAGGTGGGTTTGTTATTCACAGTGATAGAAATCAGAGGTTGTCTGCATGTACTGAGCACAGCTAACAAACGTTACTGTGTGCTGTGCCCCTTTCCCCTCTTGCTCCTTGTTATTCTGTGTTCATATAGAGTTTATACAATGGACTCTGGAAGCTGATTAGGGCCCTGCAGTGCATTGATGTCCTAGGAATAAATATATAATGCAAGAGGTGCAGGCCTCCTCAGCTTTCTAGTTGAGTACTTATACTAGCTCCTGGCTAGACAGCTACTCGAGCTGTTGGGAAAGATGCATGAGTACACTCAGTCAGTAAAATGTATGCATGTTGCCGTACTCCCTGTTACACAGCAGAAGGACAGGGTTGCACTGAAGTGCTACCGGACAGCTAAACACTGCTAGCAGTACTTAGTATCTCATTAGCCTGGTAACTTCTCCAATAGAGATGTCCTCATTCCCTCTTCCTTGTCCACTTCAAAGGCTTATGCCTCATCAATACCACACCTATTGCTATTATTATATAGACCTGGGGAAGACAAACTGTCTAGACATGATAGTGTTCAGAATGGGACTCATTTTCTTTGCAGCAACCAGACATCCTGCTGTCCTTCGGGACTGTAATGTAGTACAATCAAAAAAAAAAAAAAAAAAGGAAAGTGTGCATCAAGGAACTTGGAACATTAACCAAAAAAAAAATACTGGTGGATATTTGTCTCATTTTGCTTCTGATGCAAGAAAGAATATGGGATCTCTTGCTGAAGTGTGGGAAGGTAGTTTGCTGCCTTTCACCTCAGAGCTTGCCACTAGTCTGTGGCAAGCTTATACATCCCTGCCTGCATAAGCCCTGAGCCCCTCCAGAACAGTCAGCAGTTCCCAACCATGACAGTTCGCTATGCAGAACTGCACTGTCAGGTCCATTGCCACTCCTGAATTCTTCCACGTGGCGAGTCCCAATTACATAATAGGGAATGTTGGTACTTCAGGTCACCATGCCACCTAGGCTCTCATACAAGCAAACTCTCCCACCCACCAATTTGATTTGTGTTCATTAACATGAATTTAATTTGTAATCTTGAAGCTGACGTCTCTGGCACTTCCAGCTAGGTTTCAGCCAATATATAAGTATTAGTAGATAAACATAATTAAATGGACATGCTGAATCTTTAGTCTAGTACCACCAAAACCACAAACTCACTTTGACTCTCAAGCTAAATTCTCTGGCAGAATTTAAAAATGTTGCACATACTAATTATTCTTTGTATACAGTAATTTAGCAGTTAATTAAACTGTTTAACTCACTCAAAAGATTTGATCTTTTACTTGAAGATGACAGCCTTAGGTTCAATTAGGTTCTCATTACTAGCATCTCACAACTAAAACACTTAGATGCAACTGGGGAACTCTTCAGAAGTCAGGACTCTCTCAAACTTTGTACCTTCCTAATTTGACAGTGTAGCACCCTTTTCTTTGGTGAGAAAGACTAGTTGTATGAATTCCATGCCCACAATGACATAAATCTACTAGATAGCCAGGCTATCATTGACTTAGTAGCAATAATTAGTTTATTCTGTAGAATAAAAAGTTTTCTATCTTTTGGTGTCACTAACTTTGTTTCTACCCTTCATGCAGAGGCAATATCAAAAAATCTGGTGGCTAAAAATAATCCGTATGCTTTAAACTGTATCTATGGCAAAACCATCACCCCAACCTTCAACCAATGTGTTACAAAGTCTTAAACTGGGTAACCTTGAACTAGGCCAAAAGGAGCTCCAAAGTTCTTTTCCTGTTGCCATCATAGGGAGCATACAAATCTGGTTAAGCAATCATGGTTAGCAATGACAAATTTATCTAGATTATTAGATTTTTCAGTTTATTTTTTTCTGTTTCTCAAAAAAAATTACTTAGTCAAGCCTATGAAACACAATTCTCCAGGTATTTGTATCAGGTAGATCTCCAGAAAGGTATTCCTCTCTGCTTTTTTTTCATATAAAATAAGGAATTTGAGACAATTTTGCTGCAATAGGGTAACTAAAATTCCTTTCTGGAAAAAAAACTTGGGAAAGCACAGACCTTCAAAGACACACACCCTCCCCCAATTCAGGCAAAAATCTAGCAGATCTCTTTAAGAGCTCCTGTGAACACTGGTTTCTCTCCTGTACTACCACCCAGTCGGGAGCAGCCCACAGGACTCCCAGGGCTCAGTCTTGTGAATGAGTACTTTCTGCCTGCACCAATTTCAAATAAATTGATCCTCCAGAGTGGTGAGAGATAATAACAACAGCTTCATAGCTCTAAGGGGGAGATTCTCATTGGAATCATTAAGCTGCCACAAATCATAACTGTTTATCATTTTGACAAGTACTAGAGAAATAGGAAAAAAATCTTAGAATTCTATATCCATAGAATTATTCTCTAAACTGCAAAAAGTAACAAGAGATAATCCTTGATACAGTTCTTTTGAAGTACAATATTATTTCTTCTGATTTCAGCAGGCACTACAAACTATAGAAGGGTACAAAATCACCAACTAATTTTACAGCTTCTAACACTTTCTGAAAAGCAGAAAAATTGGTCTTATCTGTGAGGCCATGAAAAATCCCAGCAAAAACAATGAGCTACCTTTTTGGTGTGCACTGGATTAGGTGGGATTACTCATCAAAACTACCGTACTGACCCAAACCTGGAAAGAACAAGGAAGTACTGCAGTTCTTGGTACTGCAAGGTATGGACAGCTATAGCAAAGTCCAGAGAAAAAAAACAAAAACAAAAACCCAAACATTTTGCTAGTGTGAAAATGCAGGAAAAAATCAAGCAGCAAACAGAAAAGTGAGCCCCCTGATTTTACCAAGAAAATTTCCCTCTACATTACAACCCAAATCCCTGTCCTAGTCAGATTACATTTCAGCTGGCTTTTTCCTGAGACAACGCAGTACGCTATCAAAAACTGAGAAACAGGAAGCAGACAACAGGTTAGGACTGTATGTAAAACACTGCTCCTAACAGTGCTTTGCTGAATCCATTTCTCATGGAAGCCACTGAGTAAATGCTGAAGAGGCAGTCCAATAGATTCTTAAACACTTTGCCATGCCAAAAGCAAGTATTAATGCAGAAATAAGAAGTCTCTCTATATGTACATAAATAACAATTTGCCTTTTGCTGCTATCTTAGAAAAAAGACACATCTGGGGGAATCATTTAAGAAGTTCAGAATGGAAACTGGAAACATGAGGTAAACTTCATTTGTAGTCCACAGATGCTGAGTGCTCACCCTTTTTGCAATACATGTTATGAAACTGAAGACATTTTTCCTAGTAACAGTTCTACCTGTAATTTCTAACCAAAAAGCTTTTTTGAATGCAAAGATATGATGCTTGTGCATAACTGTGGCATGTGCAGAATTCCCATGGACAATCTAAACTCCAGTCTTCTCAGAATTAGCATCCAACATAGGAGATGTCAAATCTAAAAGTTACAAGAATGGTAACTTCTTGTTTGACATTATTGTCAACACTTATTTTGTTTTGTCTGTGAATACACACAGAAGGCAGTCTGTGCAAAAAAAAAAAAAAATCATCTCTGCAGCTTGCCCCAATTATTCATATAGTCTTTCCTTTCAGATTATAAATTGTTCAATACGAGTAGAGCACTTAGCACAAAAGAACCACAGCCTAATAGGCTTTTAGGTACAGCTGTAAGATCGCAGTCAGTCTGGGCTTGGTGTTTCGCTAACGCTAGTCAAGGTATCTCAGTTATTTTTACACACACTTTTAACATTTTTCTGTGCCCTCATCATGTGCAAACTCAGTAAGAGCAACACACAGGTTAATTAATTAGTAGCATCAGACTCAGTTAACTCAGATGGAAAAGCATCACATAAAGTACAGAATCACTGCTTAGAAGACACATAATGTTTCAGATTCTAGGGTGCTAAACAGAAAACTTCCTATACCATGCTACTATTTTATGTGCCCAAGGAAAAATATTTGGCTGCTTTTCAAAAAAAAAAAAAAAACCAAACAAAAATAACCACAAAACAACCAAACTGTGACTAGGTTGTTAAACATGTTTGGTCAATGATAATTATGTTAAACAAATTTAAAGATCTTTGCAGAAGAAGGGTGGATATTATCTGACTAGAAATAATTTTATCAGTAGCAATGGATCTTCAGTTTTCAAAATCATGCTTCATCTTCAGTCAGTACTTAAAAACGTTTCAGTAATATTTTCAAAATGGTAAAAAAATGATCAATATAAAACTTAGCTAGAAAAGTAACTTATGGGTTTTTTTGTGTGTGATTTGCAGGTTCAAAATCAAATGAATGAGAAGCGTGGAGAATGAAAGATGAAGGACTCAAGAGTCCCGACTGCATTTACCATGGCCATCACAGCAAGCTACATATACACAAATGATAAAATTACCGCAAAATATAGAATGTGACTTAACACTACTCATGTCTCATTGCACCCTGTATGCAAATTGCTAAATTAACTGTGGGAGAAAAGAGAAAGCTTGGGGGATGGTTTTGGCCTTGGTACTTTCACTGTTTTGATTCGGGGATTTGGGAAGGCTTTCCATCTTAGTATATCTTACATCTCATTTAACGGAAGATTCACTGAAATAAAGGTTAACATATCACTTGCATATACATTACCTATCACACTTCAGGAAACTTTTTCAATTAAACCATTGAATATATGAGTCAAAACCAGTTGTTCTAAAGCAAAGCAGACTTATGAGGTTTTGATAGCACCTCTGTTTCAGTAATATGCTTTATCCTTCCTCCAAGGCAAACAAACCCCCTTCAGCCGTCGGATTTTATGCCTCCCCTCGCAGTTAACAAACACGAGCGCCTTCCGTACCTTAGAAGGGACCGCTGCTCAGGTGCCGAAGGCATGCCGGCAGAGAGACGGCCCCGCCGCGCTGCGCACAGGCGCCGTGAGCCGCACTCCCGCGGCGCTGAGGGAAGCCGCGCCACCCCTCCGGCGGGAGCGCCCTCAGCGCGGCCTTCCGGGC